CGAAGCCTGTTCGCAGACTTGGTCTGGGAGCAGGATCAGGTTTTTGGCACGATGGGTTTCTTCTTGCTGTAGGCAGTGTCAAGCAAAAGGTGCAGCCTCCACGAGCCTACGGAGCACAATCAGGGTTCAATAGCCGTGAGTTTCCGTGGCGCCGAAATATCTGAACATGTGTATGCACATAGCTTTTGACCTAGACCTAGAGCCCCTACAGAACCAAAAAGCAGGTCTCCCGCCCCAAGCTCTCCAGGTCCGTCAGCTCCTAGCTTTTTTTGGAGAGCTGGTGATGCTGCGCAACAGGTTCCGCTCAGGCAGGGTTAAGCACATAGCTCCGTGGGATACCAACCCGCGCTGCCCCTTTTATGTGTATGGTCCGATAAGATCTCTCATGAAGCACGTATCGTGGGACTAGCAAAGCCCGCAGGTTGTTCTTGCATTTGGTAGGTGTTGTTTGAATTCGTCCCGAAGGGCCAAGCCCAGTCCCAGATAGATTACATGAGCGTAGGTGAAGACAGTCCTTTGCCTGGGAGTTGATCGAGTAAACATTCGGTTTTCATTCGCCTTAGTGGAGTGATAAGCCCTTCTAGCCCGCTGCCCAGATGAGACCTGAAAGTTTCTCTGAGCCGCAGAGGATGGCCTTTCTCAGCCAGGCACCCATACAGCATTCCGAACCAGGGCACTTTCGTCACGGACCAGAGACAACAGTCAGGGTCAAGACTTATCGCAAACACAAGCTGCGGACTCCCCGCTTAGCCGCGTTTGAGGTAGCAACCCGAGTCCAAACCACGCAGCATACACTTGTGGATGGGAGTTCGTGTTGGAATCGGTCACAGAGAATATTGTTCAAATTGAAATAGGTTTGCCGCCCATCGATATGATTGGGAGCTAACTGGAAAATACAGAGTTGCAACAAGCTTTGCCGCTCTTCCTGTCTGTCGTGTACACTGTAGACACCAAAAGCACATTGACCATGAACGCAGCAACACCCGATCACGTTTCAAAGCATGAGTTGCTAAACACCACCGTGCAAAATCTGATCTCAGAAGAGGTGGTCTTGGGAGCCCGCCGAACGTGGAAGTTGTGGATGTAGCAGAGGTGCGGGCTGGTGATTGTTCGCATCTAACTTAACGCTTGCTCCAACAAGAGAAGCATGTCATGTCGACCCTTTCACGATACCTGTAGCCGCAGTCGCAACCACAAGTATCCTGCCGCCTGAACTGATGAGGTGGGGATTCGGGAGGCCATGAAGCTGGGTCGAAACCATCAGCGGTCGTCCATGTCCTGTTTTTGTGATCAAGCAGTAGTGGTAGGTCGCGCTTGTTCGCTGAATTTTCCTAGTCTCCCACTGGTGGGCTGGTGCTCCGAAAGGATCTTTGATGCTGTATCGTCTTGCGCAGACTGAGGAAAGCTGCCACAGAGCTGCTGCCAGGAGCTGTAGCCCGGTGGAGAGCTCAAGAATGCGCTCCGGCGCGCGAGGGGCTTCTGCCGCCGGGCACCAGTTTGGAGGCATGTTCTGTGCTAGTAGATGTAAAGTCTTGCGCCTATGCCATATCAAGTGGTGGAGAAGCTGAAATCTGGAATAACTCACTCCAAACCCTGAACCCTCAATGTGTGGAGCCTCGCCTGGTGCGTGTGAGAGTGAGCGGTGAAAGCCCTAAAACTTACACCCCCCAAAACCCTTTGCCCGTGACATGTCAGCCCCTAACACCTGAGCCCTATGTTTATGATCAAGCATTTAAAGGTATTGCTTGAAACCAACTTTATGGGGTATTCAGAATATCCATCTGAAACCACAGTCACCCAGTCTCTGTGATGAGTATGTCACATGAGCGGCAAGAAGGAACACAAATCTCGAGAGGGAGACGAATCATGAGTTTGTTCACCCTTCATTCAGACAACATGGTTGTGTTTGCTTGAGGGAAGCAGAAGGAGAGGGCATGAAACCGATTCAGGAATTACTAGCAATTTAGCAGATCCAACGTGTGCCACTTACTGTGTTCTGCACGGAATTCAGTTTGAACCAAGTATAAAGGGAAGGAGTGAATCAGTCAGTGCAAGTAAGGTCAGGATGAAACAACAATCATGGTTTACCGTGCATCTCTTCGTCTGATCAAACGCAAATAGGGCATGCATGCATGCATGTTTGTTTTGTGTCAGTTCAGCCGTAGTTCTTGAGGAACACACACACACACACGCACACACACCTGAAGGAATCAAGTCATGGAAAATAGACAAGAAACCTGCGCTGAATAGCATGACATGACGACCGATGTACTAAAAGACTGGCTCGTTTTGCAACATAATGCCTAATTCGGTTCGTTTTCAGTTTCATGTTTTTACATGTGCGGAACGTGTTTGTTATTGCATTGCTTCTACATGCATGGTCAAATGGCAATCCACGGGAAATAAACACCGAGTTTGCAATAAATACGCACAAAGCTTGGGCTTGCTATGTTTGTTGCGTTTTGGACCTGCTTGTTGTTGCAGCCTAGGGTGGGTGTACAGTTCCAGGAACTTACGAATTTGCATTCGGAACATGACAGGTAGATCCAATCTTGTCTTCTTTTTGTCCTTGACTTTCACTTACTCTGTCAGTCCTCTCTCCTTCCACAACTTGGAAGCTTAAAGACATGATGGTTCACCGGTTCCGTTGCCCATGCACTTATTCCGTAATCCAGCAGCAGGCCATGAGCAGCTGAGTGCTGGCCAATACATGTCCTGTTCGCCCACATCCCGTTGAGCCAACGCAAGTGCCCGAGTGGCGGTGGCCGACGCAAAATCAACCGAAAACTGTAAACCAACCAACCCATAGCCCAACACGTTTGCCCCAGTGGGAATGATTGAATGAGGTATACAAGACAAGCCACTAACCCATAAGCCCAAAGCCGTTAGGGATGGCGCACACAAGATAACGGATTACCAGATAGTCCATCAATGCGTGAACGCATTGAATCCGAAGTTGTTCCCAAGTTCTTGTGGCCTGCACACGATAACACGCAACATTAGCTCATGAACCCATCCACCCATGACCCCATGAACCCCATGATTTTCCGAAGTGAGCATGGCCTGCCAAAGATAAATCCACAAAACCCGTTCACTGATGTGCCCAAACAGAGACGGACCGAAGCCCAATTCGAGTTGGCCAGAAAGCTTGGCTTGGCAAGTTCATGAGTTAACGGGTCAGCGGTTATGGGTTGATGGCAGAATGGCTGAATGGGTCAATGGGGGTAAAACCTGCTCTGTTTTGCCAGAGCGAGTCGATTACTGAGCGGCCGTGTAGGCCGTGGGGGTGGAAGCAGGGACTCCATACATGCCTGGGCCCATACATCTCAAACACCCCATACGTATATCTATACCTACGACCTACGTTGCCTACGTTTACACATATTAGAAACATGCGCACATGCACAGACATGAAGAAGACGCGTTCGCGGCCTGACCTTGCCCGTGTTGCAGGGATCTTAGTAATGTTTTGGACAAAGTGAGTTAGCATTGCTTTGTGCGTTTTGTACATGCTTGTATACATCTCAGGCTCAGGTCTCTCGTCTTGAACCACCCTCACAGCTGACAGCACAGCCAAGGCTCCAGGCAGATGTCAGCTCCAAGAAGAAACACATCCAGCTGGAATATATGTGGCGCCTCGTGTCAGTGAGAGAAAAGCACACCTTCAGATTTTGGAGAGGATCCGCAAATTATCAACCTTGTAGTTGGACTCCAGTTTTGCTGACAGTACCAGTATCCATATCAACGTACTATCACGTTTGCCCCGCAATCGCAACTATTCGATGGCAATTACTGCTGGTTGCAGGCATCCAGAGTGCAAGCAAGCTTCCGCCATGCAATCGCTCCCGAAATCGAGCAAGCCAGTGGTGGTGCTGACTTTGGGTCGCACGTTTGTATCGTTTCTTTGTGTGTTGTTGGCTTCGCCACAACTCGAGGATTATGTGAACTGTTTGGAGCAGGTCTTCCGGAAAGGGTGCAACGGATACCCACATGAGGCACCAGTACAGAACAAACAGGCACCAAGTCTCTTCTTCTTGGATTGATGCCTGACCTTTGCCGCCTGACCTTTATGTGTGCCCGAATTGAAGCCAACACCCTGTTTCTGAAGCTGGGCTTGAAAACCCAGGACCCAGATTGCTCAGCAGGCCAGACCTCTTGAGCTGCAAATTCCCGAGCTGGGGCTCTTGCATGAGGGCGGTGCCAAGGACATCACCGACAACGTCCTCTTCAGGTGCCTTGGTTTCTGCCAAGACGTCGCAGGGATGAAAAAAGAAGCAGCTACAACTCTAGGAAAGTAAACGTGCCATAACTTGCCCACCTTGATCCTTCGAAGCAAGGCCATTAGAAAACCAGACGGTTCAGCACACAGGCCCGCGTTCTCAGTCATGGCTTACCCCGACTTCTTTGAAACTACCTCTCAGATAAATGGTGTAGCAACGTGTTACAAGCAGTAGCCGCTGCCCAGGGAAGGGACGAAGCTGTCGAAGAAGCTTGAATACGGCACTACGATTGGGTGTGAAAGCAGATGGAGACACGACATCTTCTCGAAGGGGGCGGCGTCAACAAGGTTTGCTGGCGCAATGCAGCAGGCCGTCTACAACGCTTGGGCGGAAATGCAGACATGGCAGGCCGCGAGCGCAGAAGCCCTCGTGCTCAAGCTTGCCGAGACTTGGGCCTTGCCTTGAGTCTAAACCCATCAAACCCATGAAACCCACGGGTGCTGACCTGCAACTCTCTGTTCCTGCCGCAGAATTCGTAGGTGGTCCTTGGCAGACAGTGCAAGGGAAGCCCAAGCCAGGACGTCCATGTTCATTTTCGCGAAACGTCGGCAATGTCGGCTGAGCTGACTGAGATCCACAACGAGCTTAAGGCGAGAGCCAGATCTGGGATCTAAGGTTTGGGCTTCAGAATTCAAGAAAGGCGGGCAGCCGTTAGGCATGGCTTCAATCCCGGCGGTTGGGTAGCCGCTTGAGGCGAAAATCAAGAAGGGCACCAACAGCATGGAGATGTTCACCGAGGCCTTCTTGGTCGACGACTGCCAGCTACAGTGGCAAAACTACCATGAGCCTAGGCTTAGGCTTTTCTCCGGCATGATTTACGTTGAATCTCTAAGCTTCTACTACGTCTTTTTCAGTTGCGTTTCGAGTGCTTTGTTACCGGGGGCCTTGAGCACAACCGATGAGGAGATCATCTACAAGTCGGCCAAACAGGAAAACGCGGGCTTGATTGGCGACCTGGAAATGTTCCGCCGCCAGGCTAAAGACGCCCTCTGGTATGCTACGATGAAGCGGCTGGGCCGAGACTCTGAAGCTCTCTGCTCCTATGAGAATACCTGCGTGGAGACGGTTTGGTATGAAGCCCAGAAGTGCCATGTGACAGATTATATGTCAATCGACGTGGAGCAGCCAAAAGGAGAGAAGGAGTCGAAGGCCAGATGCAACGCACTGTCACCCGGCTTCATGTCGAAGTTCCTCGTTAACCTTCAGTTTGGCGCTGCACCAAGGCCGCATTGCCGCTTCATCGTCTGTGATGACGACGACGCAGGGGGCAGGACGTGTAAGCTCTATTCGTGTCTCAATTGCAAGTTTGAGAAAGTGTTGAACGATCTTGCAGACATGCGCACACATCAGAAGACCCTGCGCCTGCAGGCCAACTCGCGACATGTGGGAGAAAGGAGCAAGCGGCCTTTATTTTGCAGAAAATGAGACATTACGGGCCCCATATTTACAGCATTACTGTTTTTCATGTTTTTGGTTTGCTTCAGATTTGAAGCAACATCACTCGTGCACACGATATCGTTATCCTCATATGCATATTCATAAATAGGATACTTGTACGTATACCCATACATGTGCTTGTTTCAACTGTCGACGTGACTATAGAGCAGGAGGTTTGACTCACTTCTTGGCTGGTTTAGGCCCGAAGGGCGAGAACACTGCTACTAAGGGGAAGGCGGAGGGGGGGGGGCGGCGGCGGCCAAAAAAAAAAAAATCTGGAGGGGAGGGGGGGGGCAGCGCCAAAAAAAAAACAATTTGCTGCCCCCCCCCCCCCCCCCCACGGGGACAGCAAGGCAAGCGACAGCCAGCCAGCGCCATGGTGCGCCATACTGCGGGAGCGGACACCAAACAAAGAGCCACATGATTTAAACCTCCTTAGCCCATGCAAGCCTCACTACGAGTAGATACTCTATGCCGAATATTAAGATCAATAAGATTACAAACTTACCAGATAAACATCTATAGAATCTATAAAAGACCTCAGAGACTTACTGCGTATAGAAAAGTCGATATCTGAGATTACAGCTCACAAAGATGATAAGCTATTTATGACTGATGACATCATATGACGAGGAGACCTTACATTAACATACATTCGACGGATGCGAACTCACGACACAACCACTGCCTGAGCAATGCCAGGTGGACAACCAGTTGAAGGGTCTGTCGTAGTCAAGCGATAACAACAATGTTTGATGTCGCATATGATGTGGTAGCATATGCGAGGACATACGGTCGGTATATATGTTGGATGTCAGATACATGTATGAGCAGTCTCCTCGATAACATATACAACAAACACTGTCTTCGCCTTTCATTGACAGGTTGCGATGTAAGGGATCCGAATCCGACTATCTTATAGGTGCATGAAAACGGGAGTTTGAATATTCCACTTGTGCGATGTTCGAGCAACATGGTGGGCTCTGTCGGGGAGTTCACAACTGGAAATCCTTATTGGTTTATGTTCCTGTGATCAGGATCGGCTACTCGCAGGAATCTGAATATCACTATACCAAAACTGGCTAGATATGGAAACAATATACCTCATGAGCACGTCATGGTGAAGTATCAATCTTCACGTGAACCATGCGCATCATAGTATGATATGGCGTAACACACTCGTAAGCATGTAGCATGAGGTGCTAGGGAGATGCCATACGAGCTTGGCAAGCTCACGGGATGCACAAGGACATCTAAGTCAAATCTCATAGAGAAGATATGTGTCATGAGATGCTGCCTGCATATTGCGACCTATTCATACTTAGCTGTGACTGTTGTAATTTCATGCGAGATTGGGTTTATGTGTGAGAATAAGTCTCCGGGCTTTTAGAAAGGTCTACCGAGGGGTTTAACCAATATGTGGTGCAATCCCGCTTGCCCGCGCGGCCGGAAGGCGTAAAGGGGGAAGCCCGAACGATGCGGGCATCTTATAAGGACACCTACTGCGATGATCTATACGGATGGCTCAATATCATAATGATATGTTGAAGAGATTTCCTGGTGCTCTATGTTGATATGGCCATATTCAACACATAACATGCCTTTTACATTGAAGGAATGCGGCGAATATCCTGTTCAACTGCCGGTTGGGTGCCTCATTATGACGGCTCCATTACTCTTGCCAAAACTGGCATGCAGCTGCCAATGTAATCTGCCATGTTTACTTCCACCACAAGAGATACTTGACTTCTTGATCATGTCACATATTAAAAAGTTGGTTTTAGGCATAGTATAGTTCTTATACGTTTTCTTGGGTAACAGGATTTAGTTTACGGAGATATCCATAAGACACACGATGAAGTGCGTCGTGGGCTTTAACAAGACCATATTAGAATGGTTGCGGCATACAGGTGCATTGCCTGCAGCATAGATATAACAAACGGTTTTGTTTACAGCTGATGACAATCGTATGTGCGTGTCGGTGTATGTTTGTGTGTGCATGTGCAAATAATGTGTTTTCACCGCAGTCAACCTATGACTAGATGGTATGAGCAACAAGACAGCGAAAATGATTATTATTGCAGGTGGATCTCCATATGTCTGCATATACAATAATGATAGCAAAGCACCATCTCCTTGAAAAGTATATTAACTCAATTATATCCTTATCCTTTGGGGGCTTGTGGGCTTCAGCCGCAATGCTCACTAATCTGGATAAGCCAGCATTGTAGCTGTCAGGATGTATACAGCAACATCCATGCGATGATTGTCTTCGAAGGTCGTAAGTTTTCAGTTTTCTGGGTTGGCTTCTGTGAGAAACTATTGCAATTGAAATACACAATTCCGCACACACAGCTCCAAACACTGGAGAAATTATTGGACTGGGAGCTCCGAAACAAGGACAACCAATGCAATAATAATCGCAAACAATAAATACGCCTTTGAAGGAGGTTGCACTAAATAAGCTAGCATTCATACGAAAAGCGGTGTCGAAACTGAATGTAGCAAAGACATCTATGCACATATATGTATATATGTACATATGCAAATGGATCCGGTAACACGATCCAGTTGATCGCCTGCATGTATACAGCTTGAGACGGTGGGAACTGTTTGAGCAACCTGCCTGTATGATGCCAAACTCAACTTGTCATGCTACAGTATATGCTGGACGTCTATATCCAAAATCATATGTTACCATGCACATGATGGGGCCTGCAAAAACCGGTAGGATATATAAGCGATTCTTTACGTTGATATGCAAAAGTTATATAGATTGACCGGTCTTGTACATCATTCAAGGGTGGAGAAATGCACGGTTTCGCAGACGCATTGTATCTGATTTATCTGCAAGATTATACTATGAGACACAAAAAACAACCACAAGATTGAAGTGGCATTGATTTATCGGATAGTCTTCATGAGACTCCACAATGAAAGGTAGTCACACGTGCATCCCATGCTGATTGGAACAATACTTCCCATATCAGGCATCAAGAGCAACAGGGTTAAGTAAGCTTGAAAACCACTAGTCACTAGTATGCAAATTATGACGATTGTAAGTTTTTGTAATGAAATCTCTTAGAAAACAGCATTTTGACTGGAAAATATGGGGCCGGTAATGTCTTACACTCTCTTATTTTGACCGTGATCCGCAGAAATAAAGGGGACCAACGCCTGATTTATGACCCCACCGAGTTAAGAAACGGATGATGTTCTGCCTTCTGCTCAACAGTTGTTGGTGGCACCTTTGCGGCTTGCGCAAAAGACATCAACCGATGAACTCAAGGTCCTCCAACCAGACCATTTCACAGTGCTTGCCTGCTCATCCGGGTCGCTAGTCGTGTTAGGTTTTTCGAATGCAAGTTGCTACGATCTCCAGGCATTCTTCGCCTCCAAAAAGGTCGCGGTTCGAAATGATTTGATATCGTGTCGCCCACTGCGGCGATAGCCCGACTGGCTCGGGCCAGACACAGTCCAACCGTAGACCGGCGGATTAGCCTTGTGGACTTGACTGCATGCAGAGTGTGCGAGGTTGTTACTTGGTCAGTGGAATGTTAAGGGCGAGACGCAGGACTGATGCGAGGATGCATGGGCTCTCACATGAAGTCATGTACGCATGTGGAGCGGGATATCTCGAGCACTGAACACCCTCCCCAGCCCCCACACCCAACCGGGAGCGCACCCACTGGCAGGACTGTTTTGCCAAGCGTCCACACTATGGTCCGAAACATGTGGGCTTTGAGGACGGGACAGCAAGGCGACATGAACAGTCGCAAGGTTTTCGATGCAGGCAGCAGAGGAAACGTCGCAAAAACAACTGCGGAAGGGAATTGCTCATTGATGTAGAAGCGTCGTGTGGGTTGTTCCTTAGCTGGATACAAACCGTGGCGAATGAGGAGGATGTATTCTCGTATGACACTACGCAGAAACCTGTTAAATGTTCCGAGAAGTAGTTGTTCCCACATGGCTTGACATATGGGCTGCATAGGTGTAAGGAAAGCTGGCGGCATTTCTCGTGTCAAGCATCGTCGAATGACTGTAGATTTCAAGCATCAGATGGCATACTCAGTGTGTTCATGTGGCCTCCTTTGGGCCCAGTTGCCACCGGCTGATGCTGCAGCACAGCCAGGACTGGGAAGCGCCGGAACGGTCGGTGTTGGAAGCTTTGTGCCCGTTTTTGCTGGACGAACACCTGGATGACTCTACCGGCAGAGCGAACCTTGGCAAGAGGCTTTATATGACATGACGTGACCAGCGAAACCAAACTCAGCTCAGCAGCAGAAACATGACATGATCAAGCCCAGTGCTACCGACAGTTCCTCGATACATACCCGAACCCTTTTGACAATCATCAAGACCCAGATATCATGCGGGCTTTCACACGATCTTAACTTGATGACTTCCCCCCAAGCTGGGGCTTGGAATTACCTTGTTCGGGTTTGTTTAGCCCGAGATTTTGAGGTCGCATGTCAACGAAGGGCTTCTGCTACCATACATTCTTGCTGCACAAGACCCGCTTGACTGCAGAAGGTCACTACTCCAAATCTAAGACGGAGCCTGCAAGCTGAGTCAGAGAGAAGTGGTGCCAATCTTCGTTGATACGAAGCCAGGAAATATCCTGACACGGAGTGCAAGTACACTCGCGAGTACGAGCACCTCGGAGTTGCGACCTAAACATGCAGAGATTCGGTATCAAAGCTTTCAGCACTGCAGTGTTCTTGCCAACGTCTGTGAACATGTCTCAGGTACCGGGCATGCCTCAACCAGGAGAAGGTCCATGAGCAGACCTGTGCAGCTGAAAGCATGTTCCTCAAGGATGACGCTGATGAGTTCAACGTCGGTAAAGACATCAAGATGTCGACGATAGCTGCGGAAGAATGGCGAAAGCAGCTCTTTCAAGATACCTACGCAGAGGGACTCTTCCACAAGAACTTCAACACAAAGCTTCGTTCTCTCTTGACCGAAATCAAGAGCGATTCCGAGTCTTCACAGGCGGGACATAGACTGCGCAACGGCTCGAATCAGTCGTGTTCATTCAGTCTGTGGCTTTGGGGGTCCGATTCGAGGGGATTGGATCCTGAGGCTTGCTGTTTTCAGCATCCCTCAAAATCCGAAATCAGAGTGAATGAACCCGTGCCAGACACTGAAACAAAAAGCTCGACATATCCAAAAACATGTAGCATGCATCAAAGTGCAGTTTTGCAGAGACGAAAACCGCACACGAAACAAAACACAACTAATTTTTCCCAGACTTTAGTGTAAATAAACCCAACTATAGTGACAGCGATGGTCCAATACTCCTGAGCGAGTCGATGTTGAAATGTGTAATTGTTAGTGAACCACGGTGATCTCACAACACTGAATTTGCCAATTGCTCTTGTTTGTCATGCTCAAGCTTGTTAAAGTATCGATTGCGGATAGTCTTCCGCATAGTATTGATTTGGAGGAGGAGGATTAGGAGATGTGCCATTTCAGTTTGCCCCTTACAGAGCGACACTGGGTGGTCGAGTAAAGTCCCACTGGCTGGCTTCGCTTGGACCGTTTATCCTCTTGCAGAAACCTGATGGATCTTCGGGCAAAACCCGGCAACGCTGGAGGCGTGGGACGTCAAGCAGCAAGTAAACAAATCTGAGCAACAGTTCGCACAACACTCACAGTCACACCTCGCCATGTCAGCCCAAAGGCAGTCATTGCGGATTGGCACAACATCATGAACAACTTAACCTTTTCGGGAAGGGTTGCAGACAGCCCAAAATTGGAGTAGTGACCACTTCACGAGGTCGTCACACTTGATTGAGGCCGGACAATCTGCACAACTGCTTCCCCGAACTCAGTAGTGTATGCACCACCGGCCTGTACATGTGCAACATAGGCGGTGAATCGAGAGAAGCTGCAAGGATTGTTGACATGTGCAGCATGCACTGGTTGACAAAGGCATCGTGCCGACATGCCGAAGCTGTCGGCTCGAGTGCCACGAAATTTTCTTTTCCCTGTGAGCCATGTCGTGCTTGCGGAGCAGTCTGGACTTCGCGAAGAAGCAGCTGGCTGCCTTTTCTCTGCTGTCTGGCATTGAGTCAGCCGAGGTATACGGTCGAGGGCTGGAGGAAGCGCGGCACTCCCTTTTGACTCTTCATTCCTGGGTGTCCCGGGCTGATGCTGTAGCTCTACTTCCTTTGATTGATCTGCTGACCAGTCTTCATTGCGGTGGCTTGGACCCTGTCGCTTCTGGGGTGCTGTGTCCACGGGATGATCAGGGCTTAACGGCTGCAGATGCTCGCTCTGAGACGATTTCGGTGATCTTGCGCTCCAAGCTCTTCTTGTCGTTGGTGCTACCCTTCCCCGAGTAGGGCAGAGTGCTTCCGGAGCTCAGGGCAGCTGACACTTTGTCCAGGCTGCTGACGACTCTTGACGAGGACCGCTTTAAGTGATGGTATGGCGGTTGGGGTTGAGTGTTTGCTCCAGCCCCTTGGCTCGATGGCCTCAGCGGCCGCCTTTTGGGAGTACTTGCGCATTAAGGGGTTGTCAGATGTAGCTCCGGCATGTGTGCGGGCAGAGGCCCTTAGTATCGATGCTGTGAGGGAGAGATCGCACTTCCTGGAGCGGGAGGGCGTGCAAAGATGGCAGCTCGAGTTGCTGCTTGCGGCTCCCACCTCCGGGGGTTCCCAGTTGGCCTTGCCTAGGCAGAGGGAGGATCTGCCTCCTATCCGTAAACGGAAACGAGCATCGTTTCAGGATGCCATCGCTGCGGCAGCGCCTGCAGAGAGAGCCCAAGCATTGCAGGAGCTTGATGATGAGATTTTGGCCAAGACCACAGTCGGCCCGATGGAGAGCAGGCTGTTGGTGTGGCGCAGGCTGTGTGAAGCCTGGGAGGTCCCCAGTTTTCCTCTGGACGAGAAGAACATAAGGGCCATTGGTGCTTCGCTGAAGCGGGGGCGGTATCGTAGTGCTGCCCAGTATTATTCAGCGGCCATTTCGTTTCAGGCTAGGCGATTACACATGCCGGTTCAGCCGTTCGCCAGGGCCATGATCAAGGACTGCATCAGATCGATCAAGCGGGGTTTGGGCCCGTCTGCATTTAAGGATTCTTTCAGCTTGTAGCGCTGGCTCCTTTTGTTCTTGAAGGGTCCGAGTACGAGGCCTTCTCTTGGGCCTCCCTTCCTGCAGCGATTGACGCATTGATAGTGGCCAGTTACTGGTGCCTTCGTGAAATTGAAATGGCGGGGGCGGATGGGTCCCATTTGTACTTCCGAGATGGCATGGTTCATTTGCTTCTCCCTGTACATAAGACTGCCACGCAGGGTTCCTTGACGGAGAGGAGTCCGGGGTGCGGTTGCGCAGTTCGGCGCCAACCGCTATGCCCGTATCACGCTGCACAGCGGCACCTCCAACGATTGAAGATATTGCAGGGATCCTTGAATCTCAATTCGATCCCCCTCTTCCCCAGTGACTCCGGCAAGGTGCTGCCCAAGGATCACGTGGTGCAGTTCATCAGGCGGACTTTGCAAGCAGCGGGGATTACCACAACTCGTCAGGACGAGGTCGGACAACAAGTCGAACGATTCGGTGGCCACGTCCTCAGGGTCACTGGCACACAGCATCTGTACCTTTTGGGCCTCAGATGGGATTTAGTACAGCTACACGGGACATGGTCATCTGATGCCATCCAAAGATATCTTCAGGCCGCTCTTCTGCTGCAGGTGCCAGGGGTCGTCGCTCAGGCATTGTCGGCAGGGCCACAGCAGATGACCACAGCTGCTACCAGCCCGGTGACAGGGCTAGAGGGCCTGGGGGCACAGGGCGGGCAGGCTTCAGTGAACCCTGCTGTGGATTCGTGTGCTCCACCTATCGCTGATTCTCCTTTGGCTGGGGGGAGCTCCCCTCGAGACGTGGCTGCTTTGCGGGTCCAGTTTAGATCGCTGACGGAAGGAGCCGAAGAAACTGAGACACTCATTGTGAACACTCGCACCAGGAAGGCTCATCGACCAGACCCTAAGGAGGCGTCTGCCCCGGAAGCCGGCTACGGGCTGTGGCATTCTCTACGGAAATGCTCGATTTTTCCGCACGCGTGCGGATCGCCCAGAATGGGCCAAGTGCAAGCGTTGTTTTCCTCCGGATAGTGTGCCTGTGGAGGGCGCATTGGACGGCTCAGAGTCCGAGGGGGCCGACCCGAGCTCCCTCGATTCCTCTTCGTCTTCGCGTAGACTCATAGTTGAGAGACAGTTGGTCTGCGTGAGTGTTTGCCAGGGCTTCCGGGGTTCCTTTGGAGGTTGGGGGACTTGTGCTGCTAGCCAGCTGTCGATTGCCAGGACCTTGGACTCCCGATTGCATCTCATTTTCGAGTTCCAGGACTGATGCTAGTGCCGAGCTCTGGGCCACAAGTGTCGGCCTGCCTTGTAGATTTGGAGGATGTCGACTGATGACCAGTGGGAGTCATCGTCGGCGATCTCAGGCCCGGTGTGGTCGCGGCCTCCTTTAGTGCCATTGCCGCCGTCGCGTGAGACGGCAGGCGGGCCATTTTGCGGGCAGCGTGGACCATGCTGTGGAGGCAGGATGAGCCTGTCATGCACATGTGGTGCTTTTTGAAATTTGGCCGGGACGGTTGGCTCCCGGCAGGCCCGGTGCGAGGGCGTCTCGACTTTGGGACATCGGGCCGTAGCCGTAGCCTCAAACAAAATCGTTGGTGCGAGTTCTCTGCAGCGGCATGTGAGTCAATCATGTTGGTTGCAGCGTGTTGTCGGAGTGTGCATAGCCTTTACGAGCCCTGCGATCGCAGTTTTTTGGGCTGGGAGCCTCTTGTCCGGAGTCGGAGATAGGGTTCTCTGACATGGACCTGGATAAGATTGCTGATGCTGCTGGAGCTGGTGACGTGGTGCGCGAGTAGTTTCGCTTGCGGGGGGTGACCAGCCCAGGGACTTTAGCAGCTCTGGCTCCAGATGACTCGAAATTCAGAGAGATTTTCGTGGACCCCCTACTCAGTGGTTTCAAGTTCACAGGTGGCACCTTGCAGGTGAGCGAGCCGGACAAACCTATAGCTGCCGCGGTCATGTTGTACATGAGACAGCTGGCGATCAAGGAGCAGTCGACGGCGCCATCAGCACCAGCCGGTGCAACGAGGCTAGCCGGCACCCCGACACCGAAGTCACCATCAGCTACGCCTTCCGATGATAAGGTTCCCCGGACTCTGCCACCGGGGGTGTGGGCTGACAAGATCAAGAGATACGAGGCGATCACGATCAACGGCCGGAGCCGGTCTTTTCCACAGAAGGCGCTTCTGGGAGATGAGGCTTCATTGGCCAAACTTTGGCATCAGCTTATGGTGAGCAGAGCCTTCTCTCCATTGCCATTGGGCGAGCTGATGAGCAGGAGGAGTTTCGACGCTACGGGGGGCGTCAATGCCCTCTCCAAGCGCAAGGCCAAGAATGAGCTTGTCGTTGACGTGGACCGGTTGGTGGCCGAGGAGCAGGACGAGAGCTGGGAGGTCTATGTTGGCCGTGCAGGACGCCCTCAATGCACTAAGATGGGCCTACGTGCTGTTGGAGTATGGGCATGAGTTTGATGTGCACGAGCTCTTCGACATCCTCATCCAGCGAGCTCGGCAGCGGCCCCAGCAGTTGGAGAACTTCCGGGCCTACTACGAGTCGACCTTGTGGCAGTTGTGCACGGAGCTTCGCAGCGGGCGAACGTTTGCCGAGGCGGTGGCTGTTGTGAGAGATGATGTGCACCTTTATCAGGAGGTCATGGCCAAGACGTCTTCATCCCCTTCCAAGGCCGGGTTGGACAAGAAACGGAAGCATGAGGAGTCCCCGAACAAGCCGGACAACAAGCGTCAGCAGGCGGACAAGTGGCGCCAGCAGGGGGACCAGTCGGGCAAGTGGCAGCAGCAGCGCTGGCGTCCGCATCAACCCAGGACGGGCACATAGGGAGTCGGAGAGCCCGGACATCACGGCAGTTCCAGAAATCTTCCGCCGAAGGAGCCTCCAGGCCCTCCACCGGTCAGGCTTGCACCCACTCCGAAGTACAAGGTGACGCCGGCGATGACACCACAGGAGCCGGCATCCTCGTCGTGGCAGGGCTCAGTGGATGCTCCGACTTCAGGGGGATCCTCGAGGATGACACGACGCTCATCACCTACGGTGGGCCACTCCGACGATGTGGCCAAGCCGCCACCACCATCTGCTTTGATCCCCAAGGAGCCGCCGTTCCCTCCGCCACCACCTGGCATTCGGGCGCCGCCCCCACCTCCTCCTGAGGACGGGACGATCGAGATCATTCACCTCGACTTTTTCTCGGGCATCGGCACAGCTTCCATTGCGTTGCAGCGCCTCATGAAGCCGATCAGGTGTACTTTTCAGTGGGAGATTGATGAGGCGGTCATCAGAGTAGCCAAGCGGGCCACTCGGAAACTGGTCGTGTCGCACCGGGGCAACATCAAGGATGACGACCCAGCGGCAGTGGCCAAGGCAGTCTTGGCGGTCAGGGGCGGTGAGAATGACATCATTTTGATCACGGCAGCCGCTCCGTGCCCCGACTTCAGCCGGCTACGAGCTGATCCACAGGGCCGAGAGGGCCCCTCGGGTCAGCTTTATGTGCATTTTACGGAATTCCTGAAGAAGCTGGTGCATCTGCTGCCCGGGCGCAGGGCTTGCCTGGTTTCGGAGAATGTGGTGATGCAGGCGGGGGGCGATATTCAGTTCTTCAGTAAGGAGCTCAAGGCAGAGGCTGTGATGATTGACGCAGCTGACTTCAAGCTGGTCAGTCGCCCCAGGCTTTGGTGGACTTGGGTGTCATGGCAGGAGGTCAAGCGTTATCCGGGCACGACAGAGCCGCTGGTTTGGCAGAAGACCGCCAACAAGATCCTCAGCCCAAGCTTAAGGTGCCAGCGGATTCTGCACGGGACGTGCAGCCCCAGGGATTGCGGTTCCATCAGTCGGTCCTTGATGGGACCCATATTCTGCCCTGCCTCACGACTCCTGCGCTGACGGAGGCAGGGCGTGAGCCTCCAAAGAAGATGAAGTCCAAGATCGACAGCGCCACACGACAGCGGTGGCTGGAGGGGCACCGACAATGGGGCCCATGGAACTACGAGCCACAGAACATGCTCACGGATAGTCGCGATTGCTATCACCTTCTACCGGCGGAGACCAAGGAAGGTTTGCATCATCTGGATATCGGGATCACGGTGTCCCCTCACATCACCGAGAAAGACCGACACCGTCTACTCGGTAACAGTTGGCATGCCGGTGTAGCCCAGCATGCAATCGATTTTGCATTGCGTTATGGTGTCATCCAGCTTCCGGGTCCCTTCGGTGCGCGAGGGGCCGACACGTCCCAGTGGAGGGACCTTTCGTCGGCGGCAAAGAGTGCCGCGGCTGAGCCGTTGTCCATGCGGAGGGCGCCAGAAATGAATGTACATGCGCATATGGTGCCGGTTGAGAGCATGTGGGAACATTCGTTTGAGTCCTTTCGAGCGGTGCACCCCATTCTGATTGCACCCCAACTGGACCGAGGTCTGGAAATCACCATTGCCCGGCTAGTAGACATGGGCCCGGAAAGGTTTTTAACATTTCGGGATCGGGTTTTGGCTGACGTTCGCAACCTTCGAGATTCCATGCACGAGGAGACATTGCAGTGGCATGCCGGGCTTCCGCAACATACTCGTCGAGCCTACACTTTGCCTGACGGTTACATTGTTCAGATCCCTCCGTTTATCGCATTGCTCCGAGGTTGTGGCTACAAGGACTGCGAATCCCTGGAAGAGGCCTTGACTGTTGGTTTCCCAGTTACGGGCCGCTTGGAGCGGTCTCCGGGATGGCGCATGAGGCTGGATGATCGTTACTCTGCCCCCATTTGTGACTCTGCATTTAAATCTTTGAATCACGGATATGTGGTGGATAAGCTACAACGGGGGCGAGTTGACCCAGCGTGGCACACCCTGTTACAGGAAGTGTTGCAGGAAGTTCATCTGGGTCGCATGCGAGGGCCCTTTCAGGCACCGTCTCATTGGCCGAGGCGCTGCGTTTCAGTACACTCTCACTCCGGCTTTGAACATTGCATTCCTTTGGAGGCGCATGACATAAGGGTTGCCGGGGCCTTTTCGGTAACTCAGACAGGCAGTGATGGTCAGAAGAAGGTTCGACGGTGTGAAGATTACCGTCGGAGCTTTCACAACTCCACTATCTTGGCTGAGGACGTGCCGGCACATGATACCATTCAGACTTATGTCGGAGTACTGCAGGCTTTGCACAACAAGGGTCTGTGGGCAGCTTATCGACAGTTTCCGCTCAGGAATCCCAACGAGGCCTTTACACTTTTGGCACTTTTGGCTACGCCCACTGGTCCGACGCTCTGGAATCATTCGGTTTTGCCTTTCGGGGCAACTTCATCAGTTTGGTGTTTCAACGGCTGTGTCGATGCTTTGGGATTTCTGGCGCGGTGCATATTGTTGATTTTAATCATTCACTACGTGGATGATGTTGGAGGACCTGATGCGGCCTTCAGTGCACAATCCAGCTTTCGGGTATTTCAGGAGTTGTGTGAGATCCTGGGCATGGCATGCGCCTTAAACCATCGAAAGCTCAACCACCTGCCTCTTGTCATAAACTTTTGGGGGTGGTTCTGGAAATTTTGCGGGATGGCATTCGACTGTCGCCGTCAGCTGATCGTGTTTCGAAGGTCGTTCAGGCTTTGCAACAGGCCTTAGCAGAGGATTCACTTGAGCCTGACGTGGCTCAGAAACTGGCAGGGAAATTGAATTTCCTGCAGTCGACGCTGTTCGGGCAGGCCGGGGCAGCAGCGCTCCGCCCCCTTTATGCAAGGGGTCACGAGACGAAGCACGACGCCAGCTGCGGTCTCAAGGGAGCCTTGCGATGCTCCATGAAGTTCTTGATTCGGCTTCTCACTAATTTTACCCCACGATGGTTTCCGTTTAACCATGCTTCCATTGAAAAGGCGGTCGTGTATGCTGACGCATTTTTCCAGTTGGGCGATGCGAAATATGGCCTTTCAGATGAGCCTCCCACGACTTGGCACTCCCGGTCATCTTGCATGTGCCACAGCGGCTGGGGTTTCATTGTTCGTACAACTTCAGGCGTACGCTATGGTTTTGGTTCGGTGCCCGCTGAGGTGTTATCTTTCTTCACTTCACGTAAGGCATTTATTTATGCTTTGGAAATCATGGCACAGATCGTGGCAGCTGTATCGTGCCATGAGATTCTCTGCCCATATTGGCTGGGCTTTTGCGACAATTCTGCGGGGAAGGCGGCTTTGGCTGGCTTTGGCTAGAGGCTGGGGCAGTGAGCCAGCAATTAACAACCTTTTGGCTTGCTTTTGGTCCTTTGCTTTGTGTAAGCAGTGGCAGCCCCACTTCGAATGGGTCCCTAGTGACCTTAACATTTCTGATCCCTTCTCTCGGGGTGACGCTTCGATTGGACGAGCGCGCGGCTGGTCCGAGCTTCGGAGTGACATGATGCCGCTTTGGCACATCTTTCTCCGTCTGGCTAACGACTTCGACTACGCGGTGGAGGGCGCCCCGCGTGACCTTCTGCGTTTGAGTTGGGCCTTTAGTTAGGGCAGCAGACCCTCGACACTTGGTGGGCATCGGGCGGTGACGAGGTGGTGTTCAAAACATCACCGGCCCGACTTGTCGATACTCTGCAGATGCGGATTCGAAGCTGCGCTCCGTCGATCCAACCGAAAGGGTGAAAAAGATCCGGATGCACAGTTGGCTCTGCATTCGGCCGTATAGTTTGTCTCCGCTGGCACCTCTATCCATCCGTTGATATGTAGCCAAATGTTCACATGAAAGAACCAACAAATTCTCGGATTCCCAAAAGTGCTGCCTACAAAACAAGAACTTGAGCCAAGCATCCATGCACAAATGTTGGCAAACTCGTGCAGTACTAAGCAACAAGCAAAAGAAACAATTCACGCACTCCTGACTACAGTAATCTTGAGCAAACATTCTTCGAATCCTGACAATCAGCTGGATCATCACGCTGTACCTTAGCCCTCGCCTTGCTTCAACTCAATAACCGAACCACGGAAACTTCATCCATCCTACCCCAAGTGCCGAAAAACACAAAAAACACAAATGCAAAAACTACAGTAAATTGAAATGAAGTAATGGCAAGGGGAGAAAGGCGAATCACAAAAAGTTGCAAACACAATAGCTTATCATTGGCGACAACTAAATCTCCAATCTAAGTGATACGTCTCCAAATCCACGCAGCTTTTTGTGGCAAAGCAGCATCTTCTGTCAGGCAAATGATATGCAAGAAGGTGAACTTGAGACAAGTTATGCAAGTGTGACTCTTGGCCAGCATGCATCTGACGTAAAGTCTCATGAACCTCAGCCAACCACCCACGTTGCAGCTGTACTCCAGCGATGCTGCTTTTCGGCGAAAGGCCCTTCAATGCAAATGATAACAGAAATGGATGCAAAAGCGGCGAACTTTCAAGCGTTTTTGGGACACACGTGCTTGTTTTGATGCTCTGAATGAATCTCCAATGAGGCCGCAAACCAAAATAATCACCCAAGAATGACATGTGTCAGCGTGCCATATGATGAGGACATGATTCTCCAACGAGCCTACATTACAAAGTGTTCACGCAGAATGACAGTTGTCATGGTGCCATAGGGTGCCAAATGCCCACGTTCCAAAATGGTCGCACGAAACTGACACCTGTCATGGAGCCATGTGGTGCAGACTGAATCACGAATGAGTCCGCAGTCGAACATATTCACGCAAGAATGGCGTTTGTCACAGTGCCATATGGTGCGGAAATGAATCTCCAACGAGCCTGCATTCCAAATTGTTCACGAAGCAGCAACATACTCACAGTGCCACATGGTGCCAAATGGAATCTCCCACCACAAACACACAGTTCAAGATTGAACAAAAAGATTGGGAAATGACGACAAACCAAGTCCAGCTGAACTTTTAACGGCCCGTGTTCAAAATCGAGTACTCCCTCACATGATCAGAAGCAAATGTTTGGGACACTCGAACACCATGTTTTCACGAAGCACAGGATGTTTGATTGATGGTGTCAAAATGAATTTGGAGAACACGACAGCAGTGGTTTTCTTAAGATTATTGTGTACATGTTCAGAAATGATTCGATTCAAACCCACACGGGAAAATAAGCCAAATCCGTGCTGTCAGAAATGAAGCTCCATGACAAAATGTGCGGAAACGGTCGGATGGTGTCATAAAGTAAGCACACCCATTCCCAAATGCATTGGCCAATTTTTTTTAGCAACGTCATTTTGAACTGCATGGTTGCCAAAGCAATCTGCAACACACGTTTGAATCATTAGAACATTTCTTCCTCAAGCTTTTTGGACAAGAAGTAAAACGCAGCTTTTTGTGCTTGTTGTTCGGAAATATAGAAGTTTGACAATGATCATCGTCCAATTCCGAAACATTTACAGTTTCTTTCCAGGTCCAATCAACAAAATGTGGTGTGTCCAATTTTGCTGTTCATCAATGATAAGGAAGTGGTTGTTTTCGTGAGACTTTTGAGCGATATGTGGTGAATTTTGAGGAGTCTCGATGATTTTGTGTCCAAAATCATAAATTTGAAGCCGTTTGAGGATTTTTGAGAACTCTTGAGGACGTTTGAATTGTTCTGCTTTTTCTTGATTATCTCAACCCCCAAAGTCATCGTGGATTTTTGCTTCATAAGTTGTAATTCACGGAGAAGTTTTGAGAAGTTTGGAGCATTTCGTCCAAACCAGACGCAGCAATTGTGAGGATTGCAAGTTCATTCATGGTGAAATTTTTCGTTCCATACGTATTCTCACAGCTATGTGTGGACCACAAGGGGACATTTCCATCATTTTTCGCATTCAATAATGATAAGTGGAATCGATAATGATAACAAAAAACAAATCAAACCAACTATACACTGGACTTTTACTGAATGAGTTGCATGTGCGGATCAAACTCTCATGAACCTGGTTTCATTTTTCAGAAACACTGTTTCTCAAGTGCTGATCACAAATGCTCCAACTGTAACCCTCACACCCCTTATTTGCCCACAACCCTACACTGTGTTTGCGTAGCTTGTCCAAGGGCAGCGGTATGCTTCTACATAAAGTCCTTGTTGGTGTGAACACCCGTACTTATATACACACATGCATACATATGATATACATGTGTGCTGTAGATTTCTTCTTGCAGATATGTATATTCATATAGACACTGTGCGCGCAGACAGGGACCGCGCTTTGCTTAACCCGCTATCCCCGATAAACCCGCCAAACCTGCTAAACCCGCTAAGCCCGACATGCCCGAAACAGCCAGAACGCCGGACGCCGGACAAACGCATTAGTCCAAGGCCCCACCTCGGAATTACAGGTTCGTAGGAGTTCTGATTCAAGAATCAGGGGCGCCCCATCAGTCCCGGAGTTCGAGGTCTGTAAGAGTTCTGCTTTAAAAATCATGGACACCCCATCAGTCTAAAGCGCCCCGTCAGTCCAAGACTCCGTCCTCGGAGTTCAAGATCCTTCAGAGTTCTGATTAACCAGACTGGGCGTGCTCCATCAGTCCAAGGTTCCGTCCTTGGAGTTCAATTTCTGTAAGAGTTCTGATTTCAAAGTCAGGGGCGCCCCATCAGTCCAAGGCCCCACCTCGGAATTAGAGGTCCGTAAGCGTGGTCATGTATAAATCAGGGGCGCCCCATCAGTCCAAGGCTTCACCCTCGGAGTTCAAGGTCCGTAAGAGTTCTGATCAGAAAATTGGGCGTGCCCCATCGGTTCCAGGTAGATCAAAGGTTTGATGCGGCTCAATCCTTCTGCGGCGCAACTAATGGAGCCCCTGATTTCTGAATTAGAACTCTTACACATCTTGATCTCCGAGGATGGAGCCTTGGACTGATGAGAGCGCCCCTGACTTTCAATGCCCCTGAATTTTGATTCAGAAACCCTGCAGACCTTGATTTCCAAGGGTGGAGGAGCCTTGGATTGATGCCGCCACCCTGATTTTAAAATCAAAACTTTTGCAAACCCGGAACTCGGAGGGTGGAGCCTTGGACTGATCGGGCGCCCCTGATTCTCAAATCAAAACTCTTACAAACCTTGAACTCCGAGGTCGAAGCCTTGGACTGATGGGGCGCCCCTGATTTATAAATCAGAACTCTTACGAACCTCTAATTCCGAGGTGTGGCCTTGGACTGATGGGGCACCCCTGATGCCCGAATCCACCATCGATTGGAGACCATGTCTCAATTGAGCGATGGTGCCAGCACCACCGCTTCGCCATTCGCCGTTCAGCTGTAGTGGCATCGGGTGGCACATCGGTTGTTGTACCTGCAAGCATTTAGCAGCCAGTAGCAACCAAACCAACTTCCCCGGGTTTGCTGAACAGTGGACAGGAGCAAGCTTTTGAAACGGTGAATCATGCGATGCCATTCCAGTGGCATCAGCTTCTTCGAGGACACAGTTTTTGCGAAATGCAAAGAATTCCATCTCGGTCAGCTCCACAATCAGTCCTGCAGCCAGAGGTGAAAAGGCATGGGAAATGTTTGCTGCACTGTTTCAGGAAAATATATATATATATATATATATATATATATATACATACATATATATATATGTAATTGCAACAGTAGCCAATAAATACTTAACGCATATAATGAAACATTACTAGTATATTTAAGAACAATTAATCCTAGCTGTAGTAGTAGTAGTAGTAGTAGTAGTAGTAGTAGTAGTAGTAGTAGTAACAGCAGCAGCAGGAGTAGTAGTAGTAGTAGTAGTAGTAGTAGTAGCAGTAGCAGTGGTAGTAGTAGTCGCAGTGGTAGGTATAGTGATATAGTGGTATTGTGGTTTTGTGGTTTAGTGGTGTAGTGGTATAGCGGTATAGTGGCATGGTGTTGTGGTCTAGTGGTATAGTGGTAAAGTGGTGAAGTGGTATAGTGGTATAGTGGTATAGTAGTAACAGCAGTAGTTCGTCAGTAGTAGCATATGTCGCCTTTAAAACTAAAGAGGTGGAGTGGCGGCGACGGTTTGCTGGCATGCACTAGTCAGGTTAGCTGCCGATTCCCAGCTGATGATGGCAGAGAGCCTGGGTTCAAAAAAAGTACTAGCAGGTACTAGGCTCAGTAAGTAGTACCTGTTGTATTGTTTGCATTCGCATCAGTAGTACTCGTCGTAGCAGTATATAGTAGTAGTAGTAGTAGTAGTAGTAGTAGTAGAAGGAGTACTGCTGGGAGTAGTAGAACTGGTCGTGGTACCTATGCGGGCCTCCAACCGCCTGGTACTTTCCTCTGTTTTCGGG